ATCGTTCCTTCAGCTAGCATTTTTCTATTATTTTTCTATTATCATTATCCGTCATTATTGATTTTATCTGTCGCGAATAAAAATTTGCTTATCTCTTATCTCCGCCCGATTACTGGACAGTTTGCGATAAATCGCAATAATTATTTTTCATCGTTTCACGCGATGGGGGGGGGGGGGGAAAGGAAAAGATCCGTTGCGAAACAACGAATTCTCTTCAATTCCAGTCATTATAAGTAAATGCACAAATGATAGTTATTAAAAAGCAATTAAAACGCGAATTTAAGCGAAGGATATCGTATCTCGCGTCGTATCAGCGATAATCGCAATTGAATTGAAAGAGAGAAAAAAAAAGGAAAAATTCTCGATAAAAAAAATTATAATCGGAATCTCATTCTATTTAATGAGGCCTGTTCGTAGAATTCAAGTTGATACGAATACGACATGTGATAAAAACTCATCGATCGAAGAGCAAGATTATCTTAGTTAGAGTTAGAGGAAGAAAATTAGATAATTCTCGTTATATATAAATATATATTTTTCCTCGATCGGATATTATTTGAAAGGGAGGGAAAAGCCGCGTCTCATGGCTGCAGGTAGCGCGTGTTTATTGCGAAACACTTTAATTAAGAGTCTGCGTAACGTTTTTTTTTTCTTCTTCTTCTTCTTTTTCCTCTCTCGTCCCTGATGTAATAACGCCAAGAGTTCTATCGCCTGTCTTTTTTTTCTTTTTTCTTTTTTCTTTTTTCTTTTTTTTCCCGCCATTAGACAATCAAACTATTGGACTTGAACTATTGGATTATTTTTGAAAAATGGCTCGATCGAAATGCATTTTTCCGTTTGCGTTGATAAAATTTCTTGCAAAATTTTTAAAAGGAAAAGAATTTTTCATAAATAATGAACTGAAGATTGGAATGATTAATTACGTAATAATTATTATCTCGCATGCATCAATTGCTCGTAAATATTTGCATCTAGTTATTCTAATGATTCTAGTTTATTCATCAATGTATAGGTTTTTAGTCGAAACATAAATTTTTTTTTCCTGTCGTTTCTTCCCCTTCAATTTGAATAGATAAATCGCATAACGAGTAATATTTAAGTAAATTTACGCTACAATATTATGCATTTACGTACAATAATTAATATTAACGTATTAGTGCTTCGTTAACATTTCAAAAAATAAACCTAGGCAATAATACGTAATTTTCTTTAAAAAAAAAAAAAAAGAAAACTGAATATTTAAATTCTTCGTCGAACCGCTATTCAATCAATAGGAGAAAAATATCCATCCTCGAAACATCAAGAATCTTGTCTACGATCATATCCAGAGAACTCGAATCCAAGAAAGGAAAAACACGTTTCTAAGTATCGAGAAGTAGAAGAAAAAATTACGTCAAGTGATAAGTGAAATATAGAAGAATGATACAGAAGGATATTTCGGTGAGAAAAAAAGCAGGCGACCTTACGCGATCTCTGTGGAACGAAGGCCTGGAGATCGAAGTGTGAACGACCGACGCCGCCTAAAATTACTCGAACGAATTCAGACTGCAGCGGATGGAATTACGGATTCCCTTCGACGATCGCTCGAATCAAGGCTCGACCGGCGCGCCTTCAATACGAATTATCCTCCACGTTTCAATTTCTCTTAAATTTTTCTGCTGGACATCGACCCACTTTTTCCAAGATCGAATCCATTGTTATGGCATAATGATTAATTAATTAGAAAAATGATTGTATTATATTTGCATTCCCCCCCCCTATTTTTATCATTAGAGTTATATCATTATCGTTAGAATTATCTCTAAGGAACATTTTGTTGATTTTTCTTTCTAATTACAGGGAATTCTTGTCTAATCCTCGACTAATAAATAATATACTCGTTAAAAAACGATCTTAGAAATATTCTCATATTGCGCGTTTTCTAATTATCGTGGCGAAATATCTTGTTGTAGCAGTAATAACATATTGATCAAAATTACACAAGAAATATTGTATTACACGGAATTTGCTATTGTATTTCATATTAAATATCGTAAGCATAAACTTTATTACAGAATTCGGGAAATTTGGCATTTTTAATTGGATTTCTCCATCGCAAAAATATAATTGGAATATAATTTTGTTAGTTTTTGCTATTAACACCGAGCCAACTTAACTTCGCTCGTTACTTCAACCGTCGCTTCGTTCCAAGAAACGATATTCACACACTCGGTTTATATTCTTCCGGAGAATTTCATATAGGAATAAATAAAACGCGCAAACAGAGAGGACTGGTTTTAAAAAATTCTCTTGGTGACCACTGGTCGACCTTGTCCTTGGTCATAGCGAGCGTTTTTTTCGTACTCGCTCGACGACGATCCTTCCCCTCCTCCTCCTCCTCCTCCTCCTCCTCCTGCGTCTCCCCCTTCCCCCCCATCCTAACCGTTACAACGCAACATTTTCGAAAAGATAATTCTTGACGGCACAACCTGCACGTGCACGAAAGCCCTGAAACGAGGCGGAGACAAAGGCTCGATACGTTTCTGGGTCACAGCCGCAGTCTCCACCGGGCTTCGTAACAGCCACTGAGGCCGCCAAGCGTGGGAGGGCATGCAAATTTCCCACGATACTCGCGAATTTCTACGATTTCTCAGACGTTCGGATACACGATATTGAATTGTTGAATGCGAAGGGGTAGATAATTCGTTTCTCGTTTATTTGATCATGTTCATTATTTATTTACATTCGTGTGGAAATAACATGTGATTGGTGAGAATAAATAATAAGGGGAAAGTGATTTAAATTTGATTTTTCGAAAAATTAATTTTCGATAATTGCCGAGCGTGAAATTTCAATTATTTTCTTTTTTTCTTTCTATACATGACAAATGAAACACGGAATTGGATCGAATAATTGAAACTGAAGTATGAAATGCGATTTTGCGTGTCCAGTTACGAGGTGTAGTTCGAATGATAAGACGAGAAAGTGGAACGAATCGATTCGAGTGCACTCGCAGAAAGAGTGCAAGAACACTCTCGCTACATCTTTCGTCGAATAGGCCATGTGCACCATATTTTTAGCGCGGATTTACACGCTATACACGATCGCTATATACGACGATTAACACATTTGAAAATGTGTAATTGGCAGGTAATTTTATTTTACCTTTTCCCCTCCTTTTTTATTCTATCTTTTTTTCTTTATTATCACGAGCTACATACTTTTAAACACGATTATTCATCCGTGTTTTTAGCAACGGCAATTAATTTTTAAATGTTTAACAATTATCGTCGAAAGAACTGTCAAATCTTTCTAATATCGATAATTTTGCGATTAAAAAAAAAAAAAAAGAAAAGAAAAAGGTCAAGTTTCGTAAGAAAAAAATTTTTTTTCCATTTTATGAAAATATTTTTCTACGAGGAAAATTTTCCCTTTTCGGATATTGCTCGAGGCTTGCACGTATTTACTTACCTTAATAGTCGGATAATAGTGGGTTTAAAACGTTGGACGCATCGTGGCCTTTATCAATTACGCAATTTCGTTATCTATCTTATGCAAGTTCATCGTGCTTTTATGATCGGTACACATACACGCGTAATTCGAATGACAGCTGTCCCGCCGATAACCGCATTTCAGTCGGTTAACGAGCGTAATATTTTTATGCAATGCTCGCCCCAAATATATCGTGGTGTGTCGAGCAACATTCAGAAATATTTCAGCTATAAATTTCAGCGAACGAATTTTTTGCCCGATCTAATCGAAAAAATTGTTCAATATTAGGATATTATGAGAAGCACGCAACATCGAGAAAAAAATTTTTTTCCCGTAAAAACTCGTGAAATATTTACTCGTGTGTAACCGACAATGTCGAAAAAAAATGGATAATAGAAGAATAAATTTTACTTAAAAAGTTCGCAAAGATTTTATAACAGAGAGAGAGCGAGAGAGAGAGAGAGAGAGAGAGCGAGCGAGCGAGCGAGAGAGAGAGAAGAAAAATTGCACCGAAATTGTAAAACGTTATCACTACTCCACGTCCTTTATCGCGTATTTTATAAAGTGTCAATCGTATTTTCCCGCCTCTCCTGTTATCTTGGCCTACCTTGCCCCACCTCAAACAATTCTTTATCCAGAGATGATGATCTTCGATAACACGATGAACGATAATCGCAGATAAAACTCGTTTTTCATCTTTCGAGCACGAAGAGAGAGAGAGAAAGCGAGAGAGAGATGTTGATCGATCAAATTGTTCATTTCTGATTGATTTATCTAACACTTAAACGTGTTCAAACGTCGATATCTTTATCTCACATCTCTCTTTTCACTCCCCTTTTATAACTCGGTTAAAGTAAAAAAAAAAAAAAAAAAAAAAGAAAATGAACCGAAAACCTTCGCATTGGAGGTTATGTTTCCTTGTTTCGTTGTATCGTTTCTCCGTTTTCCTGTTTTCCTTCCCTTTCTTCCCGCACTCGCGTTCATTCGAACATAGAGAATATCGATTATATTTCATAGGGTATTTTGCGGTTGAGTAGAAGCAGCTAGTTCGAGGCGTTCAATTATGCAAAACAATCGGACGTTTTGAGCTTGGCTCGCCTTTGTTCTCGTCACCCTGTTGCGATATTAAGTGGCGGCTATTAGAGAACGGTAAATCGAATCCCCTTTGTCTTTCCACTCCTACTTGTTTCCTCTTTGATTTATTATCTAAATTCTGTATAACCAATTTTTCAAACTCGATTCCATATTTTTATCGCGGCGAACAACGTGGAAAGAATATTCGTATCGATCCCTAACGCCTAAATTATACGTAATCAATAGTGGAACAAGGATAAAGAGAAAAAAAAATTAATATTTCTATATATCTTAAAATAAAGTCGAATTCGAAACACAAGATAATTTTAAATCTATAATAATATTCTTAACTTAAAAATTAAAATTCAGAGGCGAAGTATACGCGAGAACAGGCGGCGATTATTTTCATCGACCTCTGTTGTTTACCAAGTTTTTTTTTCTAACGATCTTTCCAGCAAGATGGACGCTACCAATGACCGACGTGCTCGCCGTGCGCTACGGTGACGATTGGATACACGGGGTAAACTTTAAGGAGAAGCAACTGACAACGTCGCCCACGTCACCTACCGTCTGCCCGACGAATTTCATTCTCCACTACGCTGTGCACGGGCCAAAGAACAAATGGAGCCATCACAGCGTGACCATGAGCCACACCGATCCGAGACAAGTCGCCTCCTGGGTCAAGACCATACGAAATTACCTCATGGGCAAGTAGTTCCCTTCCTCCTCCCCGGTTTCTTTAATTATCGGATCGAATTAATCCAATTCCAGAAGATTCGTGAGATTGGGCTAATTTTCTAATTCGCGTTGAAAGAAAATTGGTCGAATCTTCTAATCGCGTAAAATTGAATTTGGCCCAATTTTCTAATAACGAAATCGGAATTGCCACAATTTCCGCAATTTGCGAATTTTCGAATTTCATTTTAATCGAGAAATTGAAATATTAAGAATCGCAGATATTTTATCGAAAAGTTTTTGAAAAAAAAAAAAATGTAATCTGAAAAATTATCTTTTGCGAGCCATTTATTCGATTAAGTTGGAAAAATTTACGAGTCGTTACGTTATTCGATAGAAAACAATTGACGTCGCCACGATAATTATCTTTTAATCGTTTCGTCCCAAAAAATATATCTTACCAGTAGATAAAGATTAACGAAGTGAAATTTTTTTTTTCCTCCTTTATAATTTAATTTTAACTTTCTCATACTTTCACTCGATACTTATCAAAATATTAATCCAAAAAATACCAATATTTCATTTATTTATTACAGCGCTTATCATAAAAATATAACGTAATTTTGTTATCTGGAAAAATAATTCAGATAATCGTATTACACAACCCACTCTGTATATTAAAATTACCGCATTCAAGATTGATAAATACGTAATAGGAAGTCAACTTTTAAAATACACCATGAAAGGATATTAATCATCTTCCCTTTACTGGGACAAGCGAGTGGAAAGAACCGATGAAAAACACGATGAATCCCGTGGTAATGACATCGATACATGGAAACACGAAAAGTAGAGGAAAAGTAGGTGAAAGTGGATTCTAGTTGCACGTTGTTATTTCCTTTCTATTTCAGCTGTGGAAATGGTGGTCGCTTAAATAATTGAACGAGTATCGATTATCAAAGCTTTTCATCGATCGGTACAAACAAACATCTCCAAAGAATAGATTGAGTTTTATGCGAAAAACTCGAGTTTGATTTTCATCCGATTTCATCACGAAAGAAGACAGATCGTGAAAAAGGAAAACATTGTTGAATTAAATTTTCCTCTCAATCTCATCGAAACACTCTATCCTTTGTACGTTTGTTCGAAACGAAATGCGATATTTTTTTGAAACGTACCTTCTCGAACGACTAATCGTAGTAAACGGTGTTGCGTTTCCCCGTGAACGAGTAGAAAGGATTAAACTCGGCTCACGATGGAACTGGGTCGTTGGTTGCGGATCAAGGCTGCTTAATTAACGTATATTTTTTGCTCGAAGAGGGGAGGAAAAAAAAAAAGAAAAATAAAGAAAAGAGAACAAAGATACGTAGATTAGACAAATTTGGAAGCTCGATCTATATTTGAAGAGTGATTAACTTGAGAGAAAAAAGTTAATAATACTTTTTTAGTTTCACTACTTTGGACTTTGGTATATCGAGCAGAGTTTCTCTTTGTTTCTTTCGAATAAAGTTACGAGTTCTTTCATCCTTTTCTTTATCGAATAGATAAACTTTATTTTGTTTGACGAATAATTTTTTTTCTCCTCTGTCGATAAATTTCCCACATTATAAAGTCGTAAATTTAAGAAAATTGTTTTATCCAAGAGAAATCAAGAATCCAAAGGAAAATAGTTCGAAACTTCAAAGTTTGAAAGAATTCACAAACGAAAAGAATAGGTCTCGTGTCTACTTACAAACTAACTTCGAAATCAGAAGAGAAATCGCAGAAAGTTTCACATTCAACACAGAAAAATTCAAGTCTAGAACAAATGAAGAATCCAAATTTAATTCGAGAATTCGAGATCAAAAAAATCCAAATCGAAATCGCAGAAAGTGATATTTAACCTAAAAAAATTCGAGCTATAGAACAAACGAAGAATCTAAATCCTCGTGTCTATTTACGAAACTCGCAACGAGAGAAAAAAAATCGAAGAAAATGCGACATTTAGAAAAATTCGAGGCCAGAACGAGCGAAGAATCCAAATTTAATAGAATCCAAGATCAAAAATTCAACGAACGAGAAGAATCGAAATCTATTTATGAAACTCGAAGCGAGAGAAGATATCGCAGGAAACGTGACATTTAACCTAGAAAAGTTCGAGCTTAGAGCAAGCGAGGAATTTAATGGGATCCAAGATCAAAAATTCAACGAACGAGAAGAATCGAAGTCCTTGTATCTTGTATTTACGAGACTCGAAACGAGAGAAGAAATCGTAGAAAATGTGACATTTAACCTAGAAAAGTTCGAACCTGGAACGAGCGAAGAAGAATCCAACTTGGGTAGAAATGATAAAATAATCCGATACTGGAAAACTTGAAAGAAAAGAAGGCTGCTGACAAGCCCTCGCCTCTGCTTATAAAAGCTCGGAAAACAGACGGAACAGGAAGAGTGAACGGCGGGGAAGCGTTGCATTCTATCGACCAGCGGCGCCATGACACCTCGCAGAGCGACACTTCACCTTGCAAAACTCCCTATTCGCGGCCACGACTCTTCCCCCTCGTGCACCTTTGTCCCTCCGGCCTTTACGTCATCCTCATTCACCGGATAAAAAGCCTCGAGGATGCACACGTGCAATTTGTGCACAGCTTAAATAAACCATTCTCTCGGTCTGACGCCTCTCGTTACTACGCTCCTTCACATCGTGTAATGCATGTTTGAAGAGCGTCTGGGAATGGATGCTTTCGCATGGTGTTTCGAGTTATTAATAACGATGCTCGAAATAAGTGTCTCTCTCTTTCTCGACAATTTTAGTTTGCACAACGTTTAGACAGAGATTTATAGAGGACGACGGGTTTATAGAAGATTTACCATGGTTTATAGAGGGACGACGAAGTTTTGGGATAATTGTAGGTTAGGTACACTAGGTAGGTTGTTTTTTTTATAGTTAAAGTTTTTAAACTTCACGTTAAGGTTTAAATCAATTTGCAATTAAAACGGAAAAAATAGAAAAATGTGGTTAAAGTTTCTTTTGACTTGAGATTTATGGATAATTAAATTTGGTAGGTGTTATTGTTGGAACAGTCGTTTTCTATTCCACTTTTTGTTGAAAAAGTGTCGACGAGTGTGCGAGGTCGATTTTAAAATTGTAATTTATAGGTGAAAATAGAAAGTGATAATTCAACTGTAGAAGTTTTCCGTTTTTAACCTTGAGTTTATTAAAGAAGTTAAAACTATCGCTTTTCAAGATTGTTACAAGTTCGTTTTATTTCTGGTATTATTATCATCTATTAATAGATGAAACTTTGCATCCGTTCGATCAACGAGAATAATGTTTTCGAATATTTCATCGTTTGTTTCTGGAGAAACGAAATAATCTTGTTTCAATTCAACAATCGTATGCTATAAATTAAATATTTAGACTTGTAGCCTTGGATGGAAAAAAAAAAAGAAAGAAAAAGTGCAAGAAAATGTCATGGTGTCGCGAGTTTCCTGAAAACAAACACCACTTCATGGACTTTTATTTCAAACCGGTTCTATGCACGATTGATGCGATAATGATTCTTTCATAAACTCTACGTCAACAGTTTCAACTTTCTATTCCCATTGTCATATCCCAAACAACGAAGAAGGAGAAGTTATTCTTGGAAAATAATTCAATTTTAATTAAATAATTAATAAATATTTATAAATACATAATCTCTCTTCCTTCGTTTCGTATACATCAAATTAAAATATATATCGATATCGTCATCCATTTATCTATTTTTCTCACTTATTTTTTTTTTTTTTTTTATTTTCACGAAGTGAATATTTTCGTGAAATAAAAAAAAAAAATAGATCGCGAACAAGTTGACACGTCGGAGGTTAAAAATAAGCTCGAACAGATCGGGAACGAATTTACAGCGGGTACACTTTCACCGCGAATCATCGTGCCTCTGCCACGCGGATAGCGCGCGCTTCCAATGAATCGAGAGAGGAAAAAAGAACGCGGGAAATTTTTTTATTTTCGTAAAAACACTTTCGACAAACTATTGTAAAATTCGTATAAAAATTTAAATTCACCGTAGAGAAATGAAATGTAATTGCTTATCGATCAGAGAGACCTTGAGACCGTTGTGAACACTTTTATCTGAATTGTTGGATCGCTGTAAACGATAATTCTGTTTGCTCGTGTACACAAAATATCGATGGTCAACCGATAGCTAATCGGGAAACGGGGTATCTATTCCACGATGTTTCGTAATATTCCTAGCATCGTGGAAACGAGCTTATCGCCCATTCCAATCAATCAAAATGCCATCGTCGAATTACGCCCTTCTCCTCCTCCTCCTCCTCCTGCGCGAAGGTAAAATGGTAAAACAACAGGGTGGTGGTTGGTTCACGTCCCCGTGCGTGTAACGCGATCTCTTTCTGGTCTATCTTGATGAGAGAACCAGTAGTGGCCATAAGTATTGATCCGGCTTCTTGTTTGTCGCGTTGCGTTTCTACAAAAATAAAAAAAAAAATAAGTGAAATAAAATTTCACTTAACAATAAATTAAATTGAATTTTAATTCTACTTTTACTCTGATACACAAGAAGGAAAAATTAATTATTTAAAATTATTTTTCAGGACTGACCCATCGACCCAGAAAGATCTTACTGTTCGTCAATCCGTTTGGAGGGAAGAAGAAGGGGTTGAAGATTTGGGAGAAGGACGTGCAACCCTTGATGACCATTGCTGGCATCGAAACGAAGATGCTGGTCACAGAGAGGGTCAATCATATCCGTGATATCCTCTTAAGTACTGATCTTACGGATTTCCATGTAAGTTTATCTTTATCCTTATTTATTTATTTTTATGTGGACAAATTTCTTGATACCTGCTCTCCTCTCCACTTTTATCGTGAAAAAATTATACTCCAACCCTTTCCACCCCTTCCAGGCGGTGGTCTGCATCGGTGGAGACGGTACCCTAGCCGAGGTGATCAACGGCCTTGTGCTGAGGACTTCGAGGGATCGACAGATCGACCCCAATAATCCCGAGGCGAACTTACCGACTCCTCGACTTCCGATCGGTGTGATACCCAGCGGAAGTACCGATACCGTTGCTTACAGTCTTCACGGAACCACGGATGTGCAAACAGCGGCTATACATATCATCTTCGGCGACAGCGCCGGCCTTGACATCTCCTCGGTTCACAATGACCACACGTTGCTCAGGTTATACGCCAGCATGCTCAGTTACGGTTACCTGGGTGACGTGATACGGGACAGCGAGAAGTTCCGGTGGATGGGACCCCAGAGATACGATTATTCGGGTAAGTATGTAAGCTAAGTATAGTATATTCCTGTTTGAAGTGGAATAAAGCCTTCTTTGTTCGATTGTGTGTGTCCGTGTGTTAACGAGAAATAGATTGTGTACATACGCGTATACAGGAACTGGGAAAAATTTGAATTTCAAAAATTTACTTGCAAAATTTTGCGTTATATGAAAAATAGGATTATTTATATTACTTATCTATTTTAAAAGTTATTTTTCCCAGTCTTGGTAGATAGTTATTAATTTTTTTGTATTCCTCCTTTATTTATTAGTGTAGTGTGAAAGAAACATTTGAACCATTTATCTGAAATGAAATATGGTTTACTATGGATGAAGAAAATGAGGTCAATGAGAAAAAGAAAATGTTAAATGTAGCTGTTTTGCATCGAGAATTTTAAAGAATGTGTGTAGGAAGTAGGATGTGGCAGCTCGGAAAGATATTTACGAGTTTCTTCTTCGAGTCGAAATGTCGATATTTCAGTTCTGTTTTAGTTCCCTGGGAACACGTGCATGCTCGAGAAGGAGGGGAAACAAAAATTATGTGAACGATAGTTGTCATTCGTTGTCAGATTTTATCAACTTTTTTTTACACAAATTTTTATATCCTTACTTTTATTTCTTGTACAATGTCAAGCCAGAAAAGAGAAGATAGATAAAAGGTAAAAAAATTTTAAACGAAGCATTTCGTGAAAGTGTTAAAAGATTCGTACGGATGTTATACATAATGGCAGTACAAAGAAAAATAAGAAGATGGCGCCAGTTAATACAGTCTTAGAACGCATTCTTGCGGGAGATTTGTGAAATACGAAAGATCAAGGTAAATTATTTAAATAGGTAAGTATGTGTCCTTTTTTTTTCTGTGTGTATTTATCATTCTATGTGAAGTATGAAATTGGAAAATGCGTCTTTTCTATATAGTGAAAGATAGTTTTAGATATATTATCTACTTAGTTAGAATTATAACTATATACATATAATCTAAAATGGTGTGGTTTTTATAAATCCAAAATTATAAAATATCAGGATATTTTTTATAATGTATTTACTTTTTTTTGCAGGAAACAACAAGAAAGATGACACAAAGCTGTTTGAAGATATTGTTAAATATATTATAAATATTAAGAGTTTGATACTTATCTGTAAAATTGTAGATAAAATTGTATTGATTGAAGGTAATAATAAAAGGGTGATAATAAATGTATTAATCTAATTAAAATAAATCTACTTTAAGTATTTCCTCCATTATTTTCTATTTTCAATTTCTGAAAGATTTTATTAGAACATTTCTCAAAACTTTCACAAATTTTATCAATATTTTTGATTTGATTAAACTTTATTATAATCTACATTCATTTTATTTAATTATTCTAAGAAAATAAAAATACGTTTCTAGTTTTTTATTAATAATTTCAAATATACAATAACTTTTTTTACAATAAATATACATTTAATCATATTTTTTTTTCGTCAGCCCTTTCATCCTGGTACTTCATTTATATATATATATATATTTTTTTTATTACTATCAAAATCTTACGTCTATACAAAAAGAAATAAGAATTAATATTCGCTAAGAATCAGGAAAATTACAAAAAGAAGAATAATAAGATACATACGTCGATTTGAACTCAGGTTTCAAGAAGATCCTTGGGAATAAAGGTTATGAAGGTGAGATTCAACTTCTTTCGGACCCTTGCCATCCGGCAACCAGCACAAGGTGTACAAAAAACTGCACTAGATGCCTGCAACACATGCATAACAGCAATTCGGAAAAAGAATATCCAGTTAGTTGTATTACATCGAAATCAGATTAACTTTTTATTTTTTTACCATCATGTTTTTTGTCATACATTTATCTTTAACATTTATCTCAGGATGGATGACTGTCAGAGGCAAATTCTTCATGGTAAATGGTGCCAATCTCGCGTGTGGCTGTGCCAGAAGCCCTATGGGATTCAGTCCCCACTGTCATATCGGGGATGGTTGCGTGGATGTGATTCTGGTTCGGCATACGTCGCTCTTTAACAATATTAGGATGTTGCTCAGGTTGTCCAGCAAACAGAAAACTCTGGTGCGTGAAGTAAGATAAATGAAATGATAAAAATTTTCATATATATATATATTTTTTTTTGAATAAAATAATTTCATTTAGAAAATTTAAAAAATCCTGTCTAACCAAATATACACAAGAAAGATTACACAAAAGGGCAAACGCAATACACTCCTCTTTATTATGTCACTGATTGTACACGAATTGATCTTACCTGTTTGCCTTCCTCCAGTACGATCTACCCTTCGTGGAAGTGTACAGAGCGAGGGAGTTCACGTTCCGCGCCCTGCCCACCATGCACATGCACTCAGACAGAGAGAACATTAACAATCGCTATATGAGTTCAAACCTGAGCGTGTGGAACTGTGATGGCGAGGTGATCGATAACTCCAACGTGAAAATCAGGTAAACACTCGCTTGGATATTTGCGGATACTCTATACTCATTTCCGGTCTCATCTCTTTCACACGTAAGCTTCCCTTATATCGTATCATTATATACTCTTATCAATTATTTTCTAAATTAAAAAATTACAATTTTCGTGCGTAATAATTGGAAATTTATCACGATTTTATTTAATTCAATGAAAATTAACTAAAAAAGTTCATGAGAAATATAATTTTTCATAAATAAATTACTCGAACGAAACGAGTATAATTCAGCTCAGTAATATTTGTTGACAGAGTACACTGCCAACTAGTGAACATATTCACGAGACGAGCTCAGGAACCAGTTCACGGCCGGACATGTTTCTGTTAATGGCGAGTAATCGGTCGATCTGTTCTCGCCAATATCGTTTGAAGTAAGAACAAGACGAAAATGCGTATTTCCGCGAGACGCTACGGTATTAAAATCATAGTTCCTTTGACTTGCCCTAAATATAAATCGTAATAACGATGTATATCATGATTACGAAAAATCGTCTCGATCGGTGACGAAAGTTTCTAAAATCGTTAAAGTTGATGATTAAAATTTGGAAAGTTGAAATTTTCAAAATTTTCAAACTTTAAATCTTAATCCGCGAAATCACAACTCGCAAGATATCGTTATTCGAATGCCTGACTATCGATAAAATATTCCACTGAATATTTTGCGCGAGTCATAACTGTTAATTAATTTATATTATCATATCAAGATCTGACACGATTAAGAAGCATATCCATGAAGACCTCAAAGGATACGAGATTTTTTTATTAAGTTTACACGATAGTCGGCTAATATTTTCGCCTTTCTTACTTTTAAAGTATAGTCTGTAATCGTCGAACATTCCATCGTCTCCAGCATGCGGCTCAGTCGATAAGAATGTACTTACAAAATTTTGTATAACAAAAACCGGTGTTTTCCGGTATTTTTTCGACATTGTTGCACTGGTTGCGCATTTTCGTACTTAAAAACACGTATATACACATACGCAATATACGGTTATTGTAGATTCGGTGCACGAATGGTCTCTTTCCTGTACGATATTATCATTAGAACACCTTTCTTTTCGATAGTGTTTGTTTAGAGACAGGGAGTACAGTATGAGCAACGTTCTTGTAACTCGAGTAAATATTTTTTATCTGGAAAACAAGTAAAAAAAAAAAAAGGAAGAAAAAAAATTATGAATATTAAAAGAAACGAATTGAAGAGGAGAACAAAATTTAAAAAAGAATGTAGTAAAGAATGAAGTATTTCTTCCGATTTTCCAAGGTAACAGAATGTTCAATTGATCTTTGGACAAGTTTATATGTTAATATTCAATAGAATTTTTTCTTAAACTTTTCAAGATCTGAAAGCTTTTTAAAATAATTATATAAATATTTTAAGATATTGAAAAGTCATTCAAAGACATTTTGATCAAGCTGATACCTGATTTAAATCAATTGTTTCGTCTTCGATAAGGTTAGAATAATGATATTTTCTTTACAATATCTATATAGACAAAAAGAGAAAGAAAGGAATATGTATTTTCGTCAAATGAGCATGAGATTTTAAAAGAATTTGCTGCATCCTTAGATATATATATATACATACGTGAGGACTATATGGCTGTTAGAGCTTTTAAGGTTAGAATATTTCAGAAAAGTATAGAATGGCATTGATTTTATCGAGGCAAGTATTTCAATTTATTTATTATTTAACCTTAGAAAGAATAGGATTCGTAAAGATCGAACGAACATAATAAATGACTTTTTTCTTATCGAAAAATGCATTCGAATATTAATGCATTTATCATTCTATCGTTATCTATTATTTATAAATAATTTTCAATCATTTCGTTTTCGTTGATCGATATAAAATTTAAGTTTGATCAGAATTTAGTGAAAACTTTTGTACATTTTTTTCTTATAATCAAGTCAAGTCAGGCGAGAGAATCTAATAAAAGTAAAATATTTTTATATATTTAATACCGTGATAGTTAAGGTATAGTTCAGGTAGAGGGAAAAGTAGAAACATGAAAGTCTTTTAAAACAATGTGGCGCACCGTTTTAGAATTATAATTTAATTTTTCTTTTTTCTTTTCCGATCTGATTATTTGCAGATTGTAAAACAGATACTGCGCATCGTAACGATAAAAGATAAAAAGAATTCATAAAATTGCAAGAAGAAAGTTTGAATGTAGCTGTGCGTGTCATCAATCCTTTGTTTTATCATATTGAGCCGTATTCAAGGATGGATGAATAATATATGAATTCCAATTTACGATTCATGATGATGTTACAGTACTGCTTAAGTAAGCTACTAAAGATATCATAAAGTAAAGGATTAAAGCAGCTAAACCTCTGGAAAGGAAGAACTCTCAACGACTGTTTCGAACGAATCTTTCCCTTTGTACGGTCCGGTTGTAATTAAAGATGCGAACGACGAGTGGAAACTCTTTCCCTCGATCTTTTCTAGTCTGTTGCGTTCGCGTCGAGACACACTTGTTCCGTCCTTGGTTTTTATGGTATCTGCATTTCTATTTTCAAGGGACAGAAGTTTCCCTCGTCAATTTGCGTTAATCTTGGATAAAATGTGAGAAAGATATAAAGGAGAGAGAGAAAGAGAGAGAGAGAGAAAAAAAGAGAAATATTTTTATGGTATAATTAATAGCTTTTTTCTAGACCTAATGTTTTTTATTACGATTAGTAGATGTTTAAATTTTACATTATTTTTTGTGATTTATAGACTTTTTCTTCTTCTTTGTCTGTGATATATTTTTTTCTTAATTGTTAACTTTGCACTTCTTGCTTTAGAAACACAAACATATTACAAAAAAAGAATAATATGCATTGTTCTTTGTTAGATGAACTTTTAAATTTCGTCCAAAATGTATTTCTTTTTTTTTTTATTTTACATCAGCGATGATTAGAATATTCGTGATTCGATCGTGTGCTCTTCGATTCTTTAACCTTTTAGGGTCTGATCGATGACACTTCTGGCTTACGATCTTTTTCGTTGCAACAGTATTCTTTTTTTAAATTTCTTTCTTCTACAAGTTAGAAACAATTAATGACAACGAAAAATTCTTTGGAATTTTTTTTATTTAAGAGTAGATACTACGTATTGTAAGAAACAAAGATAGCGGACCATAAGGGGTTAACGACCGACAAATTCAAAAGAGAAAATTAGCAATTAGATAGAGATTATTTTCTAGACGTGTGTGTCCAGGTTGTACAGATATATATATACATATATATATACATACATATATATATATATAAAAATATAAATAAATATGTATATATCTATATTTTAATTACGAAGTATTTATATACATAAGGTGGAAGGAAGATAGTCGTGATGAATCGCTTCCGATTATGGCTGTATCAACAATTGTATCAGATTATATTCGTGATGGTGCACCGAATGTCAAGATTGGCTGCGTATATTATTAATAAATTGTACTTCACTTTTTCAACCTGCATTTTATTTTTTCTTATCCTCACATATGTAAAATATTATGTACTTATGATACGTAGAAATTGAAATTGACTTTATTAAGATCTTTAATGAATCAAGAAAAAGTATAAAAATAATTAAAAATTCGTACTATCCCTTGAACGCATATATATGTAGATTATTGAGCATAGACAAAGAGCGAATAGTGCGAGAAGGATAGAGATAGGGTAAAAATGTTGAAGTCAGCGCCATCTTCAGAGTGCCGCAAATGAAACATGTAAAAAAAAAAGACAGAAAATAATAAGAGAAGGATAGAAATAGATTAAGAATTGACTATCAGCGCCATCTGTTGAGTACAAAAGACATTTACTTAAAGATTTAGGATAAAATAGAATAAGAATTGGAGATTAGCGTCATCTCTTGAGCATTAAGAATGCATATCATCACATAGTTAAGAAAATAGTTGGGAGATGGCGCAAGTCCTTAATTCCATTCTACTTTATCCTATCTTTGAACTAGTATCTTTTGCACTCAAGAGATGGCGCTGATAGTCAATTCTTAATCTATTTCTATCCTTCTCTTATTATTTTCTGTCTTTTCTTTACATGTTTCATTTGCGGCACTCTAAAGATGGCGCTAATTTCAATATTTTTACCTTATCTCTATCCTTCTCGCACTATTCGCTCTTTGTCTATGCTCAATAATCTACATGTATATATATATATATATATATGCTCAAGAGATACGATACGAATATTCAATTATTTTTATTACTTTTTTTTTGATTGATTAAAAATCTTAATAAGTTAATTTCAATTTTTACATATCATACACACATATGTACTTTATATTTTTATATTTTTTTATATTATATAAGAGATCTGTACATTTTTATATATTTTTTATGTATTTAAAATACATTGTACTATTAATTAAATATTTTGTTTCAGAAATTACTGCAGTTCAAAGAGGTAAGTATGGAAAAGGTAAGTACAGGACTGTTCTCAGTCCTTTAGATTTAAGTAAAATGGTGAAAAAATGATTAATTCCTGTAAATATGTCAATTGGAAGAGGTAAGTATATAAAAGGTAAGTAAAAAACAGGTAAGTTCATTATTCTACAAAAATTTTATATATCGCTATATTATCATATAAAATAAAATTTCCAGTTTGAGATAAAATCGAAAAATTATTTAGAAATTTCGAAAATTCCAAGAATTTGACGTCACTTCCAAGAACTGCCGAAATTCTTGGAAAACTTTCTCGAAACGACCTCCTGTCAAATTATGTTCTCCTAATACAAAGTCGAAAAATCGGCGAAAAATTTTATTCGTTCAGAAGAATTTCGATGATTCCGGGAATTTGACGTCACTTCCAAGAATTTCGAAAATTCCAAGAATTTGACATCACTTCCAAGAACTGCCGAAATTCTTGGAAAAATTTTTACTAGCTAAAAATTTCGACTTTGTATCAGGAGAATATAATCAAGGAGGAGGTGACACGTGAAATTTTTGCAGGAATTCTGCGATTGAAATTTTTGACCAAATTTTCGATTTTTTATCAGGAGAATATAATTTAACAAGAAGTTTTATATACTTACCTTACATACTTACCTTACATACTTACCTTATATACTTACCTTTTATACAGCTTCTTTTGTACTATTTTTTTCTTTTTTTTTTTTTCCCTTTTTTTTTACAGTTTCCTTAATCCTAAACATACTTACCTTTTATACTTACCTTTGCCTTCTTTTGCGATATTTTGTGAACTCTATCCATTTAGCTATAAAAAAAAAAAAAAAAAAAAAAAAAAAAAAAAACGAATATCAGAATACCTTCTTCGCCTTCTTTGAACTTTTCTATCTAAAACATTTTTAAATATTTTAAAAACAAGAATTTTTCAATTTTTAGATAAAGAATTTTTCTATACTATACCTAAAGATATCCAAAAATGGGAGAAATATTTTGAAAAAAAAAAAAAAATTCCCTATCGTTTCTTCAACTTTCTATGATATGGAAAATTAATTTCTATGATTTGAAAATCTGAAAAGAAAAAAAATTCAAAAAGGGGATGAAATTTTCGTTCAACATTCACTTAACATCTTTTTTTTTTCTCCTCTTTTATATATTAAGAATTTTTAATAATCAATATTGTCGGATATATATATATATATATATATATATATATATATATATATATATATAATAT